TGAAATCAGAAATTCAGAAACCCTAAACCCTAAAAGCTGACTGCGAGGAAGAAGACGAAGATGGAGCAGGGAGGAGGCTTATTGGACGAAGCGCTAGGGGATCTCAGCCGCCGCGTTGTGCTCCTCGAAGACTGCGTCGACACTAGCGCCGCTTTCGTCCTCCACCACATTCTCAAGCGCTCTCTCTCTCAGCCTCCCCACTCCACGTCCAACGCCGTCGTTTTTGTTGCCTTCGCCCACCCCTTCTCTCACTACGATCGCATCCTCCGAAGACTCGTACTCCCTCTCTCTCTCTTTACAAAGAATTAAACTTTTACTTTTACTTTCGATTGAGTGTTCATAGTTTCATGTTTAGCTGCTAATTTTTGTGTTAATTTACATTGGTTAAGCATTTATTAGTAATTGTTATATTTGTTTTCCATTACATTAATGAAATGGGGTTTCTGAATTCTGAATGTGTTTTCTGAAACAGGGTTGCAATTTGGCTGCACAGAGGGACAATAATAGATTCTTTTTTCTTGACATGCTTATGGACTGCCCAGGTGAGAAAATCAGGTATAAAATGGTCTTTCAGTTCACTGGCTCAGCCCGGCTTACTCTTATTTACTAGTTAATTTTCCACCCAATGCAAATCCCCTACATGTCCTTATCGATTTACATGTCCTGAGTAGCTAAAAGTTAGTTAATGATCCTCATATAAGAGACCTGCAGATAAATAAATCTTCTTCTTTAGGGTGCTGTAATCACTGTAATTTGAAGCGATGTAGGATTTACTGCAGGACTGATGTTAACCATAGTTCCATTTCGGTTAATAAATCTTTGTTCATTAAGAGAAAAGTGTAAGAGTTGTTAGTATTGGTTATCAGAAATTGTTGGATTGTTGGGTTTCTTTATATCATTAAATTCATGACAAGAAATCATCTCATTCGATTGTGACACAGACGAAGGGAAAAACAGTGATTGTGGATTAATTGCTTTGTATGGGAAAATCCAAAAGACTATAAGTGCCTTAGCTCAAGAGAACAACTGTGTCACCGTTATGATTGACGATATTTCCCTCATGGAGGTGGCTGCTAAGGGGTCTACAAATCTTGTGCTAGACTTTCTGCATTACTGTCATACTTTAATATCAGAATCTGTAAGGCATTGCTTGCAACTGTCTCAATTGCTCCACCTTTCATGCTTCCACTCCTTTTGTTCCGTTATTTATTTTATGTCCTTTTCTTGTCTCAGGGTTGTTCTTTAATCATGCTCAATCACGAGGATATCTATTCAGGCACAGCGAAGCCTACCCTTATTTTACAGATGGAGTATCTAGCAGACATTCTGATAAGGGCAGAACCGTTGGCCACTGGGTTAGCCTCAGATGTGCACGGGCAGGTATTTGCTAGAAAAAAACATTATGTCTCTCTTCATAGGGAGAGTGCTAGGAATTATATCCCGTCGCATCATTCTTGTATGGTCCCCTCTACTCATTTGTGATTAATTGCTTACTTTATGGGTCTTTGGTTGTTATGAAAACAGATAATCTAATTAGTTTGTTAACCATACTATGCTCATATGTATGATAGGGGCTTTTGTGTCATGATCCTTTTTCTTGATATCCTTGTTCTTTGCTCTTCACAAATTGGTGTTAACAATTGAAAAATTGTGAGAACTATGTCCGTTTGTATTGCTTGCTACCGTGCTGCTTGTGACTTGCCAGTTGCGACTGTAGTCTTCTATTACTTCACAAAAGGTTCATCCTAATAGTTGTAAGATAATACCTACATTGCCGCACGGATACATGAGTTATGATCCTGATTGTTGTACTTGGTTGCAGTTGACAGTTAAAAACAGGGGGATTTATGATGGGCATGAGGGATCGAGAAACAAGGTGTCGAATTTCCAATTCAAAGTAAAGGAAAACGGTGTCGAGTATTTCTATCCTGGAAGCAAGACTTGAGGACCATATATGCGTTGTCAAGGAATTTCAAATTGTGGGTGAATATAGCGATTGAGGCGACATGAATGTTGTGATTCTAATTTCAGAATGGAAATGCTAGATTTCTTGTAAATTTGTTATTCTCATCCCGACCTGCCCCGAAACCGAAATAAAAGGACAAGGATTGTCTGCCCTCCTTGTTCCCGTGCCCTTCCATGCCTCATGTTTGTGTGGTCACGGTTAAGTCACGTCAACATTTTATATTACTATTCATTTTTGTCTTATTATCTCTATAAAAAAAACAATATAAAATGTTGACGTGACTTAACCGTGATCATACAAAACAGGAGGGCACGGGACCAAGAAGGACAGACAATCCTTGTCCAAAATAAAATGGGTTGTGAATGGGACTCTTATCATCGATAATTAGCATATGCTCAATGAGCATTTGAGAATGTCTCTACCGAAGTTTGAGGATTATTAGCGCATATTTTCTTTTGGTAAACAATTAGAGCATATGTTTTGCATTACAGTGTTGGTGAATGACTATTTGAAACAAATCCAATTGTTATGTGATTTGGATTTACCTTTTAATTTTAAAGATACGTTAAACCGACGAGCAAGAACTGATTAATGTTGCAATCCAAAAATGAAAGGATAACGACAACAAGTGACTCGAATGTAAACGTTCTTTGTTTGCGAATACATTGGTCACCCAATCTCATGCATTGACAATGACATGGCCCCCCAAGTCGAGCACATAGTCCTCCCTTTAAAGGTCATCGAATTAGTGGTGAGCCTTTTGTCCCTCTCTATAATTACATCCAAATCGACTGTTTCCCTCAACGTCTATGAAAAGGAAACGTAATGAAAAGGTAAACGTGCCTTTTTATTGTTAAATTTTGCCAAATTATTAAAATGCATCATTTAAATGGACTTTAAGGAGGTGTTTACTAATCCGTAATCAAATTGAGAGGAATTGAATTGAGGACGAATTGGATTGAGGTGGAAGTAGAATTAGATTTCTGTTGAAGTTGTTTACTAAAAATGTATGGAATCGGAGAGGAATGATGTTGGTTCTATATAAGTTGTTTATTAATTCACTGGAATCAGAATTAAAACTAGATTGGTTACTAAATTACCCTTATATAATTATTTTTATACTAATTAATCAAACTAATTTATTGTTAAAAAAAAAATATCAAAGTAATTTTATATACCAAAATTTATCTATATAAAAAATAATTAAAAGGTTTCTTTTTGTTAGAAGATGGGTATTTCCATTTGCCCCCCACCACCCAAAACCCCCTGTGTTTGTAAAACCCCGTGTCTGTCTTCCCAGCACCTCCCTTACCTTTCATCCTGAAGACCTTATTTTCCCAGCTGCAACAGCCCTCCCCCATTCCCGCCTTTCCTTGCCCTCCATCGCACTTACCCCTATAGCAACCGACCCTAGCCCTAATTTTTGAAACCCTCCATCTCTCTCCTCTATGCCCTCCCTCTCCGCTTTCTCGGTTACTCCTGCCATGGTTCGCAATGCCGTTCAATCCAACGTGTTTGTGAAAACCGATGAGTGGGTTGAAGTTCAGAGATCTCATATATGCTTCTTGAGCGGGTCACCTACTACCGATCGTAGTGGGTATGATGTTTGGCTGACGGGTTTTTTTTTTTCTTTTTTTTTTTCTTTTCATTTTCTCTACATTTGTGGCTGTTATATTTGTGGTGGTTTTAGGAGGGGTTGTGATAGGCGTGGTCGGTACGGTTGTTATTGTGTCCGTTCATGGTGGTAGATTTGGGAAAAACAGAAGATTGAGAGGGTGGTCTGGAATAGGGAACGACTCCCATTCCACGTATATGTAAACACGCCCTAAATGGACAATTTTAGTTCACTCCGATATCTCACAATACCACTCCAATATCCCACAATACGATAAGATAATCGGTAATGTTTTGATAAGTAATTCATATTCTCAGTGTTCCTTACTCCGATTATACTAAAAATTATCAAGTTTATATATAATTTTCGTTCCCTTGCAGTAAAACCATGAAAAATGCATGAAGCTGCTACATCCATGTGTTTTACTTTCTTACCAAAAAAAAAAACATGAGAAGTGTGTTTTGGACTCAAACCATTAGCTTGATCTCGATTTTGAATTTTTAATGAATTAGAGTTTGCCATGCATTGATATTAATTGTTGTATTTATTTTCCATTGCATAAATAAAAATGGGATTTATGAATTTTAGATGTGTTTTTGAAAATAGGGTTGCAATTGTTGTATTTCTTTTTTCTTGACATGCATCTTCCACGATGTCCACACTTACAAAGAATAACTTCCATTTCACAGTATACAGTCCCTCAAATCCAAGGTGGAATACCACGTAACACAATTCAAATGCATGAAAGAACATCCTAACCAAAGTGTTAATTCCTACGTGGATTGATATCAATGAAGTTTCTGCCAATTTTGACAGCATATAATGACGATTTCCTTTTTCTTTTATAAATAGTTTATTGTGCGAGCCCTAGTAAATGACCAATTATAAAGCAACAAAACAAGTTTTAATTGTAGGATGAGCTCCGAACTCATTAATTGTGTTTCTATTTCATAGAAGTCCTTCCAAGCAAAAGGGTCATGGAATTGTCGCCCGCAACCAAGATAGGGGTATAGGAACCACTAGAGGAGTGGATGAGACTACAATATGCAAGGCAAGTCTATCACGGGGTATTTTTGTGAGTAGGTCGTTGAGATGACGTGATATGTCAAGACAAAATATACATTTTCTTCATTTGGCTTTTTGGCCTAAACCCTAAATTTGACACGTGAAAAATCTGCCTAATTATAAGGCGTAGTAAAAGAAAGAGGAGTCTCTCCGGATCTACTTTGTGGGGATCCTTGGGATTCCCATTTCCTAGCTATATCGTGCAACCAATTTTCGTTAGATACTATTTGTGTTTAATTTTAAATAAAAAATTCAAATAATTTATGATTGCATGATACAGGAGGATGAGTGACTAAAATGTGCGAAACCCTAGATCCCACAAAGTGGATCCGGATATGATCCAATTCCGTAGTAAAAAGGAACGTGCTTTCCATGCTGACTTGTGCCCAACTATATCTTACGCAGCTGACTAAGTTCTAATCGGTCTTTTGCTTGATAGAAGGGAAGTTCGCCGCCGAACCATTTCTGTAAGCGAATTGAGCCACCGGACAGCGACGCGGCTAGGGATGCGTGTGGGGTGCTGATAGAGATGGGTGAGAGGGTGGCCGGGGGCGGAGATTAGGCCACCCCATATGCTTTTGCTTCTCTGAAATTCATTTTTTTCTCCTTCGTTCACGTGTGTTCGCATTGTCCAGCGGCTACATAGCTTTATCTAGCCGCTGAACGATTGAATTCAGTGCGCCGGCAATGATCTGCGGTTAGTCTCTCCCTTCCTCAGTCACACACTACAATATATTATATTGTAAATTTTGTAACTGCTAAGTGACATTTTTTTGTGTTTGTTCGTATGCAAAAGGGGTGAAATCTGATTCTTCAACATGCAAGTGCAATCTCTGCAGTTTTTCTTCTGATGAATACGAAGCATCGTCTAATGGTGTAAATTCAAGTTTTGACTAACAACGGTCTAGACATATGTTTGTATTCAAGTTTTGGCTACCCCATCAAGAATTACTGCCTTCTGCAGTAAAATCGCAAAAGAAATTGTTCAAGTCAAAAATCAATAAACATAAATCCATGTGTCTTTTGTTTTCCCCCTGTAGTAAATCTAGTCTTTAACCATACTAGTAGATTTTGAATGCCAAATGCTGAATGCCCCTATCCTGCATCATCATGGCTAGTCCTGTTCTCATGGACAAAACCACCAGCAATGAGTTGAGTAAGCTTTAGCTATCTGCATCGTTGCCTTTGGTTTCATTTACCACCTCTCGAACAAACTGTCCACGAACACGGGGCCTTTCTTCCGCCAGTTTTTTCCTGCTCTGGTATCTAACCTGAAAAGGTGAAGAATTGTTTTGTTAAATACTCAATCAAAATTAACCATGGAAGTAAAGCATTACACGCGATAAAACTCAAAACACAACTAGAGTTACCTTCTTCTCGAAGCATCTATCTTTCCTCTTCTGGCGGAATTTGTGCAAAGCAGCCTCTCTTTGTGCAAGACGGTTTTGATCAACTCCACTTTTGCTACCACCTTCAGTTGCACTGATAGTTTCTTCTTCTCCAGCTATGTACTCATCAGATTCCATGTAAGTTCCTCTAGAATTTATGGCAGAGCTACCCCCACTCTGCCCGTTGATACTGTTGTTTCTTTCTAAGGCACACCCATGCAAACTGTTACTGCCAATATTCCCTTCCATTGGTGCACCCTGCACATTGGATGACCCGCACTGTGGAGCTGCAGCCACCAGATTTTTCAGTGACAGACCATCGTGATTCAGTATCTGCTGGTGCTGGTCCAGACGCACGTTATGCATATGGTGGTGGTGGTGCTGCTGCTGCACTTGCACGTGCTGATTCATTCCCCATTCTTGTAATAAAGTTGTGTAATGGACTGCAGCATCAGCCAGACCTTGTTCTATAAGCTGGTTATAAGACATAATCCTGCTGTGGTCTGGTTGGAAGACAGAGGAAGAGTGGATTGATCTGGGGTCTGCATTGTCCTCAGATGTCTCTTTGTTGGCAAAGAACTTGTTTGTAGTGGACCCCATGTCATCGTTATCACTACAGCCATTGGGACGCTGGTAGAGAGGAGTGCCATCTGATTTAGATTGAGAATTTTGAAATGATTTTGCATTTGCTCCCCCTGAGCTATTACCGAGAGGAGAATAGCTACCAATATTCCCAGATGGGGTCTGCTTCGAATTTGTAGAAAACTTGTACCTGAACAGTACCGAAAAATATTTTCAGATTAAAAAAGTTGACGTAAACGTCATTAGAGATGAGTTTAATTCAATTTCTGAGTATCTGCATACCTTGAGAAGGCTGAATTGTTTGAATGTCTCAGAACATTTTGATCATGACCACTGCACCTGGCATCTCGAACATCTCTCTGCGTCATTAAACTGAGCTCAAGGGAGGGAATTTCTTTACTGTCATGGATGGCCTTAGCTTTTATCTCTGGAAGCTTGAAGACACCATTTGGAACGTCAAACATAATACATTGCATCTGAGGAAAGGTGGTACTGTTACCGATGCCACACATTAGATCAACAGCCTGGTTTCTCAATTCCCGATTTGGTTTTTCATTGTTGAGCTCTGGTTGCCCTTTCTCTGTTTGTTCATCATCGTTCTTTGAGTCTATTTCTGGAAGTCCATCTTTATTAGTGCTGGTCGTGTTGGTTAACCCTTCTTCTTTTGGTTCATCAAGCTGCAAAACTGAAGTTCTAGGAAGCCCTATAGCTGAGTCTTTGCCCATGACAACATCACCTGAAGGAGAAAAACAGAAAAATTTTAACCGAAACAAGAGAGAGACAAGGAAACAAAAGATCATTAGAATAAGATGCCTACCAAGCTCTTCATTTTGCCCTTCACCCTCACTAGTTTTAAATGCAGGCACCCCGTCATTGCCAAAAGTGTCATCCCTTGAAGGATCAACCTGACTGGTCTGAAAGAATAAATCCAAGCTAATGCTTGGAAATTGATCAGTATCTCTCCAGAAAGATCTTTTGGGAGATAAATTTTCGTTCTGGGTGGCACAGAACATTGCAGCTAAACAACCTCATCACGAAAAGGTACTTTTTCCTGAAAATGATCTTTTTGCCTTCCGATTTAAATTATGTTTAATTTTACTCATGTTCGTGATTAAACATTAGGCATACATATACGAAAATCGAGTGCAATAAAAAAGAATTCAAACACTAGTTTACTCTTTTATATGATACTAGTAAAGTGAAGGCAATTAGTAAGCTGACTGATACTTGCCCATCAACATCGAACGTACATGAGAAAGGAGATAGAATAAACCATCCAAGAGAGGATACACGATTAAAAACGTAGAACAAGAAAGATCCTAGACAGGACGAATTTATACCTCAGTGCCACTTCCATTGTCACCTTCATCCTTGTCAGTCAGACTAATGTTTCCGAGGGCAATGTTATCCTCACAATTACTGCCAGTGTTCTTGTCTGACTCCTCAAAACTTGACGACTTTGTAGATTTTTGAGTCCCGATATCACTTGCACTTCCACTACCACTAGATTGCTGAAAGGATGAGTAATGAACACAAAAACAGAGGCTCAAGATTCTGCACATGCCTTGGTGATGCACTGATGCTTGAATGTAGAAATGAAAACCAAACTGAAAATAATAGTTCCACGACATAGTATCATACAAAAAAATGAAATAAGTAGAGCGACTCACCCTTTGGCATTTCCTCCAGATATGCCGCCATAGGTTTTTAAGCTCATTCTTTCGTATAGGCTTCAATAAAAAGTCAACAGCGCCCTTTGATAAACACTTAATAACTGTACTCATTGAATCTTGACTCGACATCACTGCACAAGACACACCAGGTTCAGTAGCTAAAGTATCAACCTGCTAAAAAAATACTATAGGTAAATCAGAATTACGTTTGCCTGAGTAAAAATGTAAAAATGTACTTACTAATTACAGGAATATTCTTTCGAGTTTTGTGGTCCATTATGTTGGTCAGGAGATCCATGCCTGACAAACTGGGCATGACAACCTCACTCAAAATAAGATCAACATGAGTTGTAAGATCTTCTAAGATTTCCCAAGCTCGTATACCATTATCTGCCTCTATTACTGCAAAGGTTGGATCCACTGTTAATTTTACCAAAATACAAGCAATTAAAGGAACAGGAATTAATCCTCATTTTCCTAAATTATTCAAGATAAATTGGAACGATATCAAACTGCTAAAAAAATAATAGAACATGCTTAAACAGAAAATCTGTCGTAAGCACGTGCTATCATCTTATGGTGTATGAGGGAAATATCTCATACCATTAATATCTGCACTTGAAATATCAGCTTATACAAATATCTACACCAGTACACTTCAATTGATCCTAGTCCTACACATAGGTTCTTATATGTTGCATTATACTAACCTTCGTAGCCACAATTTTGCAGTAAAGCGCGGAGAACATTGCGAGTTCCATCATCATTTTCCACTAGCAGAACCTTCAGAGACCTGACAGATAAGAACTCCTCCCATCCTTGAAGCTGCTGTTCTGGCCGCCCATCATTTACGCTGTGCAAGTCCTCGTTAACCTGAAAACCTTCCTCCTTTGAGAGCCCTCGGCCATCTCCCATAGCGCCATCCTTAATCTCCTTGTTCTCATCTCGAATATGGCAATTTAATTCCACGCGCTCTCTAGTTACAGGACTATTGCTATTCATCCCAACTTTCCCCATCAACCAGATTCAAATAGACAACAGGATCACGTTGCACGTCCAGGTGTCTTCAAAATACAAGCATTAAAAAGACCTAAAATGGAGTGAAGCTCCATGAGCCTCTCGAAACCAAAAACAATCAGATTCAAAAGAACTGTAAATTACATGCTCTATGAAATCGATTCACCTTCCATCCCCACTGATTTATCTAACTAGAGCAAGGAGTACTTCAAGTTCAAACAAACTTCTCATTATTCTCTTTAGGGTTTTTTTAGCCAAAATGATCCTAAGATTGGCATAACTCTCATTTTGTTCCCTAAGATTTAAAATCGATAGGAGTGGTTCTGAGATTGTCCACCGTCAATTATTTTGGTCATTCTGTGAAAAATCTCCATTAAATTGAGTGTATTTTTGTCAAATCAAACCCTCCACTTAAATTGATGGTTTTTCAATTTAAGGAGATTTTTCACAGAATGACTAAAATGATTTACAATGGACAATCTCGATGACCAATTCTATTGATTTTAAATATCAGACAACAAAGTGAGACCATTTTGGCTAGAAAGCCTTATCTTTAGCATGAAAAGTGATTCACTAAAGTATTTTTCTCACACAATTTTCCATTTCAGCAACAAAACATACGAAAGATTTAACAAATTTGCTCCTTTACGCTTCAACAGATATACAAAAAAAATAAATAAAAACAAAAAGAGTGGGAAATTGAAGTGAAATTAACAACAAAATGCACTCACATCAACTAAACCTAACAGAATAAACTGTCATAAAAATTAAAAATTGAATGAACTGGAAGAATAATTTTATTATTTCGATTTCAGAGCAGTCAAATTTACCTCTAATTCCAGAGAAAATAGCCAAAAAATATTAAAAAATTCTGCATTATTTGAGCTCGATCCAGACCGCCGAATGCAGAATTTTTTGAGTTGGAAAGTCGCACGCTTCCGAGCTGAGTGAGAGCGCGTTAGGGCTTTTCTCTTCTGAAAAATAAAAGAAAAAAGAGAAAAATACGCATCGGAGAAAGAAAAAAAAAACGGCCTCGGCGGTCGCGGAACGGCGGATGTCTTGAAAATTGAGATAAAGATATTATATGCAGGCCATTTGCTGACGTGGATGGAGTGGAGGTCGGGAACTCTGCCACGTCATGTGCCACGAGGGATAACTGGGGGAGTGGGCCATGCGGGGAACTCGCCGTGATACGTGGCGCGTTTTGAGGCGAGTAAAAAGGTTTGGGGATGCTTGGATTCTTCGACGTAACTGGAGACGAATTTTGGCGGGTTCGCACACTAACGGCGGAAGAGACGGTTTGTGAGAGGACCAAAATGCCCTCCCGATTTCACTGATTGGTCCACGTCATCATAAAAATATCCGCTTGGAAGAAAAGTCTTCTTTTCGGTTTTTCATTTTAAATGTTTAGGTAATTTAGTTTGTATCAATATCTATTTCTATCATTTTGAATCTAAAATTCGTTGTCACGTGATGTTACCGATTTATATCACTAGTAATAAAATTTTGACAATATATATACCACTTGATCTATTAATAAATGAGTCCAATGATACTAATATGTTTAAAACGTTATTAATTTATATATCTTGCCTTTATGATCTAATTTTCTTATATATAAATTGCTAATCACCTTCATCCATTTTCTCATAATTTCAATAGGTTATCAACTTCGGATTAAGATTTTATATAGATTTCTTCTAGAAATATCATAATAGTATTTTAATATTGATTTTTTTTCCCAAGTATTAATAATGATTAGAAATATTATAAAATTATTATTTATTTTTTATCAAATAAAGTTTAAAAGAAAATTGGTTACTTTTATCACTAGCGCCAAAACTTACCCATAACCTCGAGCCGAAATAATTTAAAGATGACATCTAACTGCCAAGTGCCATTATTTGGAGAGAATCGAGATGAAAGTGGACGGAGGTGCCAAATTGTCGCACAACCCAAAATTTGGGTAGTTGATTATACAAATTTTAGTTCAGATAGGCGTTTGCACAAAAGTGAGTAGTTCAAAGCAATATTGTGAAAATTTTCCTAGTTTATTCTTAACCCGATTAACATCCCGCACAATGCAACGTGTCCATTTCCTTTGTCCCGCATAATGCAAGATGTCCATTTCCCCTTGTCCCTTATTTTGAGAGGCGAGAGAAACTCAAACTTAAAACCTCTTACGACATTAGAAAGAGAAGCATCACTATAATCCAAACAAATTGCAACGAGGGCAATATGCGATATCAGTAAACCCGTTTTCATGTTTTTTTTCCCCTATGGTTTGTGTATAGAAATCCATGTTTACAATTCGTTAATCGATACAATTTCATTAAAACACGGCAAACTTGTGGTGCAATGAAAAATTTACTTCCCACGACTACGATCTAAGCATCTGCCACACATACAACACGACTGAATACTACAGATGCCTAACTTGGCAAACGGATAATACCATACGTGCTTTTTATCACACAGAAGTTTTTCCCCTTCGATTTCAAATTATATGCATCTGCTTCGATGACTTTGCAAAGAATGATATAGCTTACCTAATGAAAACTAACTTGTCTGGTGTATGTAGTACAGAATTTACGAATCATGCTGCCGCAGACCGATTGTCTTCATGGTCTTCCAGATTCAAAGCTTGAAGTAGCTTTGGCCAGGATTCAGGAATCCCTCCAGGAAGATCAAACTCTAACAATTTTCCTCGACTTCGGTAGAACTCCTCCACGGGTTGACTCTGCAAAAAGATGATGGTATGTGATGCACAGATTACTAACTGAACCAAAACTGAATACCGTTCGTTCAGCCTGTAGAATAGTCTCTGAGGTAGATCTGTACGAAGGTGGAATGCCTTATAAACTATGGGTGGCAGTGTTTCAGTCACGTTAATATATTTTTAATCTTAAACACGGATAAGTTAGATGCTTGAATACTTGAAAAGAATATAAAAGAGCATTCCCAAGATACTGAAACAATACCATATCATTGTAAATACGGAGGCGCTCCTTAACAACTTCTTCAGTGTCATCGGATCGCGTGATAAGCTTAGATGCACAATTTGGAGGGGGAAGAAGTGGAGCCATGTACATGCCAGGGTTCCCGTCCTCAGCCTTAATGTCAACGGAGGCAACATTATAATTTCCTCCACAATCACTACAAATCCTTCTTCCAAGGCACTTTGCAAGCAAAGCCTCTTCACGAAGCTTTAGGTTGATCACCAAGTCAATGTCTGTTACTCCCTCTAAAATTTCCTGTAAAATCATAAAAAAATTATAAGGCAAGTTATAACCAAGAGAGGCCAGAGCGTTATGTTTGAGAGGAAGGAAGGAGGGAAAGGCACAGAAGCTGAATCAATGCGACATGGAAATATACGATTGCACCATACAATGAGCTCTGTTGCCAATTGAATGGGACTAAGTCAATGCCTTCTCTTCTCTCCGTAGCCACTCGAGACATTATAAAAGAATGGAAATTCACACTACTTCCTCAATAAGTATCCTTACATATTAGTTTCAAAACTTAGAGTGCCCTCCAGAGGTCATAGAAACCTGGAAATTCCCACTAAATCAGTACTCTCACAAAACAGCACACAAAGTCATTACTTCTTTCGATAAGTGGTAGATGCCCCCGGTGTAGTAATAATATTGAAACTCAATGACTAAAATTCGTGATGGACACAAAAGGAAACCTTATTAAAACTTGAACCATCTGAATTCAGATTTTCCGGATCCAAACATTAAATTCAAAAAATGCAACAACTTTTGAAATGAAAAGAAGCACAACGGAAATACCGCTGTGCAGGAATTCGGGTGCCTGTATAAATTGTTGTAACGCAATTGCGCGATTACACAATCAACAAGCAGTCACTTTTCAAACACCACAAATCTACTTTCACATTTCAACTCTACTAATCTGAACTAAATCTTCATAATCGACTACTACATTTTGTTATCTACACCTGCATGATCATTTTGTGCACATTTCAAGCAAATTCAAGCTCCCATTTTTTTAAAATTTGATGGAAAAGATGGTATTACCGCCTGTCGAATCGTCCGAGGGAAGCCGTCAAGGATGAAGCCAGTTTCACCCTTAGCTGCAATAGCCTCAAGACGCTTGGACAACAAGTTTATTATAATCTCATCCGAAACCAATTTCCCCTGATTCACAACCTCCGCAAGCTGCAATTTTACATATATTCTTTTAGGTTTTGAACAACTTAAATTTACGGAAGTTACAGAAACCCTAAGGGCCAAAGGGGAGGGACCTGAAGAGCGAAGGGGCCGGAGGACGACAACTCGTCGCGGACGAGATCGCCGGTGGCGATGTGGGGGACGCCGAGGAGGTGGCAGAGGCGGGAGGCGTAGGTGCCTTTGCCGACGCCGGGGCAGCCGAGGAAGACCCACTGGACATTCCTGTCCTTGACGTCGCGATGCAGGGGAAGAGGCTTTGGGATGACGGAGACAGACGCTTTGATGTCAGTTTCGGAATTTAGAAAAGGCGAGGAGTGGAAGCTCCGGAGTGAGAAGTAGCTTCCCGGTCGTCGTAATTTCAGAACGCGATTCAGAACCGCCATGGGAGAGGGACTACAAAGTCAAGTCCTCTTGGATTGCAGAGAGAGAGAGAGAGGGAGTTTAATTAGGTTGTGATGTGTTCCGGGAGGGCAGAGGGGCGGTGGCGGGTTTTTGGCGCGCCACGGCACGTGCAATAAAATCTAGAGCGCTCTCCAGTCCACGATTACGAATGTCAAAAAGTGCACATGTGATATGTATTCTGTTGGAATTTGTTTGCCTTTTTCATTAATAACGTAGATGTTGATAGTTGGAATTATATTTAAATGTTGATTAACGTGTTATTTTTTATTAGTCATATATTATTTAGTTTGTAAATTTAGTTTAAAAATTTAATCTCTTAACAAAATTCTTGAAATTGGGTTTTTCTATTACGAATTTTAGATAATTCGGTTACGTGCAAGAAAACAAGGGGAAGTCATGAAGGGAACAAAATTTCTTTCTTTCCATTACCAACTGATAAGTAAGTGAGCCCATCCGAAATACGCCAGGGTTGTAAATGGCATAACGTTCCTGATAGAAAATGACGACCCCTAGAGAGTCTTTTTTGAAACCATTTCATAGTCTCAATGCCATCACCCGACGTATCATTGCTTACCATGTGTTCAAAGAGTACACATAACCAATGAAAAACTGCCATGTGGACCCAAAATTACAACCATACGTTCCAAAGAGATAAATAACTGCCTTGGCAAAACTGCTTCATTGAGTTTGGCTCCAGCTGATCTCAGAAAAAGCCCCTCAATATCTCAATCTTATGAATTACATGAAACACTCCATAGCCTTCATTATAATGAAAATTGCAAGCGTGAAGCAGTTACTAATTTAAATTTCACGAAAGGGTGAAAATGAAAATGAAATTACATCAATCAAAAACCACTCGAACAAAGCACTAAATCAAATCGGAATACGGTACGATCCTACATAACATGCCTATCATTTGAGGGTGAAACGTACAAAATACAAAATCAAATACACGTGCAGTTATACAAAGGTTGTCATCGCTCAGCTACATGTGGTCGGCCCTGCCGTCATCCTCACTAATTCCATCGCCTGCGTGCCTGTAGCGAGATCAAGCAAACAAAGCTAAGAGAACAATGCACAAGTACGGTTCCCAACTCTTTTGAATGCAATTGCTACTAGATGATGACTTAAGATGAACCTTAATCACAGGGTTTCAAAATTTCACATCCTTCGTTTATAGTTATACATGACAAAGGTGGGATCGGCATGTCATTACTGGTAAATTCTGTGCATTTACTGACCGGTCAACACAATATGATCTCATGGAAAATGTAACCGTCCATACTTTCTTTTGGATTAAACCACCTACGAAATGAAACACAAGGCAAATAGCCCTGCTTTGATTTTCAACGTCATCGAAAATCCATCTCTTATTTGGAAAGAAAAGCTTATCCTAGTCTTAGTTTAAAGTGGATAGAAGAAAAAGAAGAGGCTGAGAACATACCGCCAAGATGTTGTTAGATTGCGAGCTTTTCTATCCAATTGGAGATTTTCCATTGCACTTGAAGCTCGAATGACATCCTCTGGACTTTCATCACTGTCATACCTATAGTTGTAGTCATCTTTCCTGTAGCCAGACATGGAGGACCCACCTCTTCGATCTGAATATGCTAGAATGCATCAGATAAAGAGAAACAAAAGGAACCACGTAAAGGGAAGACACAAGAAATAGCTTTGTCACTCACCAGTTGACTGGGAAGATGCACCAGGCCTAAGTATAAACACACAAACAAACTAATATCAATTAAGAGTTTAAGGAAAAAGGAAAATGAGACAAAAGCAAGCACAAAATATTGGACAGTGATGTAGGTTCAGCACCTTCCTAGTGGAGGTAGCCCTCCCGCAACAGATGACGAAGAAGGTCTTCGCATGTTCCGAGAATCCAAATTGGATAAGGACTCCGTTTCTGAAGTAGTTAGCCTCCTTCCAGTACCCCTTGCTTGAGATAAATTCTGCAGTAAAACGATCTAATGGTAAGCAATCTGCTAAAGGAACAAAAACATGCAAACAATAAGCTAAAGGTATTTGTATTTTTGCTTCATTAGCATAGCAATCCAGCGTGATATCATCCCCTTTCTCTTTTGGCTGGGAAACTTTTCCCATGGTCAGTTGAACCTCTAAATTGTATATTAATCCCATCCTATAACTGATCAATAGGTTTAAAGAAAAGGGAAAACGTGCCCACATGTATAACAGAGAATATATCATGCAATCTGATTCTTAACTAATCCGTACTATGTCGAGAGAACTAACACACATTTATTTTATTTTTTTTGTCAAACTAACACACATTTATTGAAGCCATGCCTTGGTTATGTGATAAAACATAAAAATCAGTTAAATGTACCTTGAAGCAAAGAAAACATCGCCAAGAAAGACAACAGCCCTAATGCAAATACTGAAATGAACTTGAAAATTTTGTGTTTTAACTCAGACAAAATCAAACCTCAAATTTCAAGAATCCTTCAAGCACGTCCAAAAGCAAAGGACAGCTATCTCCATTTCGGTTCAGATCATACCCATTCTTGCTACTAAAGTCCTTCAACTCAGCTTTCCAAGAATCCTTCTGCTGCGATTCGGCAAAAACAAAATCAGCATTCATTAGCATAAGACAACAACATATTACTTCAAACTGTTTGCAAAAAGCCGACACTTTCTGCACTCAAAATTATACATGATTACCAAATTACACTCGGGCTGGTAAACTTTTAGCGTGTGGTTTAGTTGCGCCCAGTCTAGGTATTCACATATCAGTGCCGTAAGCAACCTTCCTATAACAAGCATGCCAAAGTGAAATTCAGCCGATAAGCATAAAAACAAAAACAAAAAATATCAACTTTCTTTAAGCGTGGGATGAGTAGAAGAACCTGAAGGAGAAGCGTGGAGCTGTTTAGCGCGATCGTTGCAGCTACCAAGCAATGCCGGAGGCAAGCCTTCGTCTTTCTCAATGACCTTGTCCTCCTCCTCAATTGCCTCAAACACACTTGCTCTCAACTCAGCCTACCAAAACAAAACAGTTGAATTAATCAGAAAACAACCCGAAACCCGAATAATAAGTTCGATTATTAAAAAATCACAGCCTAATTACCCAAAAAACGGATCACATTTCTCAAAATCCGAAGCTTCAAATTACAGTTAAGCAAATAAAAAGTAACGGGCTTTGAAATTTCAAAACCCTAGCCGAAGTCAACAAAGCTGGGGGACATTTACGCAATTAACCCGAGAAAAAACCTCGTTTTTGGGGTAAAATCAGCTGCGGAATAACAGAAAGGAGATCGAGATGATGAACATTAAGAAAAAAGGGGAAATGGGCAAAAAGGGAATTTGAAATTGTACCCGGATCTTGGCGAGTACGCCCTTCTTCTCGAGGGTGCGAGTGACGAGAGTCTTGAGGTCCATCATCTCCCTCGTGTAGTCATCCATCTTGTTCTTCGGCTTTCAGAGGGAGAGGGTTTTGATTGGTGAAGAGAGAGAGCGAGTGAGCTCGCCTTCTCTGCGTTTTGAATTTCTCAGCTTTCCTCGATGTTTTGCTTCTTCAGAGAGAGGAGAGGGGAAAGTTCTCGGAATGATGGGGTCACTGGGATGAACGTGGGCTCCACTGCAAGCTTGCAGTTACTCTGGTAATTTCATCTGGGCCGGCAGCTGTGAAATTCGAAATATGATGTTTTGGGCCGTTATTGTATTAAGCCTGTGGGTTCATTTCTGGCCCTTGAGTATCAGCCTGCTAAATACACTTTTTGTTTTGTCTCAGTTCATCACGTGATCTGTTGAAACTGAATATAGCTTTTGAAGAAAATTGAGATTCTATTATAAAACAAATTGGCAATATGAGGTTCCAATTACTTACAAGTACATCAAAATTATTTTCTTTTTTTTATGTGGATGGATTGATATTCTCAACACGCTACGACGAATTGTAAAGCCTAATACGTAAACAACACAAATTAGATAATATGGAGCCCATGGCAAATTCTTAGGAAATAAAATAAAATAAAGATCTATGCTAAGGAAATGTTATCTATTAAAGAGCCATTCACAAACTCAATAAAAATGAGATTTTCTAATAGGGTGTGATATCCACACACCTTTTTTTACTTCTCACACACCCTTTCTAATTTTCGAGCATCGGATCAGATGAATTGAAGAAGATCAAATGACAGAAATTAACCAGATGTGTGTGAGAAGTAAAAATGATGTGTGGCAGAATTTTTACTTTTTTACAAAGAAATTATACTCTTTTGTTTATTCGATACACGTCATTCGAAACGTACAAGAATTTTCACCACTTAGAAAAAAGTTATACTCTTTTGTTTACTTAGGAATGTCATTCTATCCATAGCCGAATTTTCACGCTTAAGAAAGAATCTGAGACTTCAAAAAGAAAAAGAAAAGTATCAAATTCTTAGTAAATAATCTTAAAACTTTACCCTATATATATGCCGGTGTACGATTTTCTTCTCCCTCCAAAATGTTGAAAGGCAAAGCCAAAATAATGAAAATAAATAGATACATTTTATCAAATTCACCCAATCAATAAATTCGGACCCTTAAAATTTCATCTAAAATGTTGAAAGGCATAGCCAAAATAATAACCAGAAAACTGAAGAAATATTGTTTATTGCTCTCTGTCTATTTAAATTCCTTATTTGTCCGTTTCCGGTTCCACGCTCTAAAGCCCAAGCATTTCCCGATGGCGCCCATCGACCCTCACTCGTTCACTGACTCGACTCACCCACTCGCCACCCATATTTCCCTCTCCTTCTTCTTCGACTTCCCCTCCTCCACCATCCACGCCTCCGCCCTCCTCACCCTCCCCGCCCCGTACTCCGGCCCACTCTCCCTCGACATCCGTGCCCTCACCGTCCACTCCGTCATCGACCCCCATAAACCCTCCCGTCCTCTCTCTTACGTCATCTCCCATCCTGACCCAATCAAAGGCTGCCACCTCACCTTCACCCTCTCCAACGCAGCCTCCGTCTTAATACTGTACTCCACCTCCCCCTCCTCCTCCGCCCTTCAGTGGCTCTCCTCTCCCCAGACCTTTAACAAGACGCTGCCGTTTGTCTACACCCAATGCCAGGCCATCCACGCGCGCTCCGTCTTCCCTTGCCAGGACACTCCCGCTGCGCGTGTACGCTACGCGGCCAAGCTCAACGTCCCCCGCCAGCTCTCCGCCGTCATGTCCGCGCGTCACGTCTCCCGCCGCGACCCGATCGCCGGCGAGGGGTCGGCGCTGGTCTCCGGCGACGCCTTGTGGTGCTCTGAGGACAGGGTCGTCGAGGAGTTCGTGATGGAGCAGCCAATCCCGCCGTACCTATTCGCGTTCGCCGTCGGTGAGCTGGGGTTCCGGGAGGTGGGCCCGAGGACTAGGGTTTACTCTGAGGCGGTGCCGGCTGTGCTTGAATCGGCGGCGACGGAGTTCGCGAGCAGCGAGGACATGATCAGGCAAGGGGAGGCCTTGTTTGGGCCGTACGTGTGGGAAAGGTTCGATCTTTTGGTGCTGCCCCCGAGCTTTCCGTACGGTGGAATGGAGAATCCGAGAATGACGTTCTTGACGCCGACGGTGCTCAAAGGCGACGCCAGCGGCGCGCAGGTGGTGGCGCACGAGCTGGCTCATAGCTGGACTGGGAACTTGATCACCAACAAAACTAACGAGCATTTTTGGTTGAATGAGGTACTAAATTTACATTCAAACATTCACCGGTTCAACTTTTCGGGCTTAAACTAATGAGCATTGGTAGTTGATGTCAGGGTGTTAATATTTACTTATTGCTGCAGGGTTTCACGACATATGCTGAGAGGAGAATTGTTGAGGCTGTGCAAGGCGAGGACAGAGCTGCACTGAACATTGGAATCGGCTGGCGGGGTTTGCACAAGGAAATGGAGAGGTTCAAGGATAGCTTGGAGGTCACAAAGCTGAAAACCAACCAGGAAGGAGTTGATCCAGATGATGTGTTTTCTCGAGTCCCTTATGAAAAGGGTTTCCAGTTTCTATGGCGCATCGAACGTCAGGTATGTTGAAGTTGTAACTTCTTTTGTTTCTAGATGTTGGCCTGTAAAGACGATCTGATCGGCACTTGTTTTTCGGAATCTGAAGGTTGGAAGGCCTGCGTTTGATGAGTTTCTGAAGAAATACATTGCCACCTTCAAGTTCCAGTCAATTGATACCGATACGTTTCTCGAGTTTCTCAAGGCAAACCTACCTGGAATAGAGAAAGAGGTTGACTTAGTGGTGTGGACTGAGGGCACTGGTATCCCTCCTGATGCGTATGAACCGGTTTCTAACATATATGCAAAGATTGTGTCCATGGCAAATGAATTTAAGCTTGGTAGGATGCCGGGGGAGGATGAAGTTGCTGACTGGAGAGGGCAGGAGTGGGAACTCTACTTGGAGAGCCTCCCCAAGCCTATTGAACCTTCACAGGTACTTATTTTCTACGACTTGATTCCATAGCAGCCTTCGACACGCATAGTTACTTAATTTCTTAGCTCTTGTGACTTGATTTGCAGGTTGTAGAGTTGAACTCGCGCTTCAGGCTGGCAGAATCAAAAGATTATGATGTGAAGGTGACATTTCTCCTGCTGGCCATTGCTTCCAACTGCAAAGACTACTTGGGCGAGGTGGAGAAAACTTTGAAGGAAGTTGGGAGGATGAAGTACCTTGTCCCCCTCTACAGGGCTCTTGTGGAAGGCAATGGAAATGAAGAAGAGAAGATTCTGGCCAAGCAGGTGTTTGCAGCCGCTCGCGAGACTTACCACCCTATAGCTCAAGGCGGTATTGAGACAATCTTAAACAAGCACTGCTGAAATTGTGTGTGAGAATGTAGAGTACACGAACCGCAATTTGGAAGCGAATCCTTGACTTCGTTGTTGGCTATGTCCTAATCTCTGAGATCTGTAGCCTGTGCATGTGAATGATCTCGTAAATAAAATGTAGCTGACTTTTGTATCTCGCTTGCTGATGCCTGATGATATTTTATGTGTAAATTCGAAAATACGAATCAAAGCTATGCCTGCAAAATCAATGTTACTTGATGCATGACAGGAACGAGAATAATACTCATCAAGTATCGCTTTCTTAGGAGGATTTCAATTTCTATTATATCATGAACATATCCATTTACAGAAGCAAGTAACTCAGAGTTATTGGAATCAACGGACTTTCGGTATTCACTTATGATTTCTACACAGTTACTACCAAATCAGTCTAAAACAGTAAAATTGCACTTCTCCCGATCCATGGCAAAGCCATGGAACTTGGAGGTCTTGACATATCTGTTCAACACCTCTTCTAGTGCAGTTTATCAGTAAAATCACAAGTTAGTCCTACCAGGGAAAGGAGGGCGACCATTGAGAAGCTCGAAAAGAATTACGCCAATACTCCACATGTCAACCTATAAACTGAATCCGTCAATTTTGATTTATCGTGATTGAAAGGGGAAAATGACACAAGTTATAGACAAGACCGTACCTTCCCATCGTATCTTTCAAACTGAAGAACTTCAGGTGCCATGTACAACGGGGATCCACAAACTGTCTCCGCATAATCACCCGGATGTAAACTTCTGTACACGGCAGCAAAGATAAGCTAATAAGGAACGAAACCACCACAGTTGGTTGCTTTAAATCATAATAAACACATCCTAAACTCATCCTAAACTGGGTTAGTGGATGAATTTCCGCATATGGATCTCTCTGCTAGAGTTTACCTTGAGAGACCGAAATCAGCTACCTTTAGCACCACATCATCTTGAGTGCCAGAGAGTAGAATGTTCTAGTAATACAAGATACAACAATTCAGCCGATTTACAGAATTCTGATAGAGATTTACGATTCAATTCCACATTTAAGGGTGTAATGCAATCCGAAAGGTTGAAGTCAATCAATATGCATTCAATTGGTATAACAAATCCAATTGTATATGATGATTTTGGGTGCAATTCAATTTGTAAAACTGTGAACACGAAAATTTCCTGAAAGGAAAGAGACAAGAACAACGTGCACAAAATAATGTTTGTATTTGATGATTTTGGGTTACAATCTCTCTCAAATTTGATCCTCTGATTCGATCTCCGTAAGGTGTTGATTTGTGGATGTTTCGTTGATCCAAGGGCCGTCGAGGCTTGATTTTGGATGAACTGTTGGAAGTTTCTTCAAGGGTCGTGGGCTTGATCTTTGAAGGTGGATTTGAACGAATCTTCAAGGAGCCGTTGGGGCTTGATCTTGAGGATGAGTGTTTCTTCAAGGGCCGTTGAGGCTTTATCTTGAATGACGGCGATAAACGAATCTTCAAGGGCTTTTGGGCTTGACCTTGAAGAACAGTGATGAACTGATCTTCGAGGGCTTTTGGGCTTGATCTTGAAGAACTGTTGGATGTATGGATTTGTCGACGTTTGTTGATCCAAAGGGCCGTTGGGGCTTGATCTTAAGATGAACGAAGAACGAAGAACACTTTCTTCAAGGGCCGTCGGGGCTTGATCTCGAATTGGTGGATTGTTGATCCAAGGGCCGTCGGGGCTTGATCTTGGAAGAACGATGAGCGAAGAACGAAGAACACTTTCTTCAAGAGCCATCGGGGCTTGATCTTGAATTGGTGGATTGTTGATCCAAGGTCCGTTGGGGCTTGATCTTGGAAGAACGATGAACGAAGGACGAAGAACGCTTTCTTGATTCTTCGGGAACCTGGATGCTTGAGAGCTTCGGAGTTTCAGAGTTTCAGAGCTTCAAGGTTTTTGCCTAATATCAATTCCCCCTTCAAATGAATGAATTTGGCTTCTATTTATAGAATTCTCTAAAGCCTAATTTTGAATATAATATTCCAGATGAAATGAGTCGTTCTGCCAGGTGTTGACACGTGTCATGTTTGATGACTTTTCCGATGATTCTCGATTTTTTATTTAGACACACGCTACGTGTAAAATTTATGTAATACATGAGCGTTGAAACTTTGATTATCGGTCAACATTTATTTACCGAAATTTCGATGCCTACAAATGCCCCCACGTTAAGGCGCGTCGTATACATGTGCTTGTCATGTGTAGGAGATTTGTTTTGAAGTCCCTTATTGTAGATGTCGATCCAAGGGCCGTTGGGGCTCGATCTTGAATTGGGCTGGAAATTTCTTCAAGGGCCGTTAAAGCTTGTTCTTGAACTTTGTTTGAAATTTCTTCAAGGGCCGTCAAGGCTTGATCTTGAAGTTTGAAATTGGACCACAATGAGCTTCATGTGGTAGATGATCTTTGGCTTTGGTAGTGGGTGAATCGGCACATATTTGTTTTTTTGCGCTTGTTGACTTTCCACAGCTTTGGATTTCTCCAATTGTTGATTTTACACAGCTTATTCTTGAACTGGATTTGATTCAAATATGGTGGACGCTTGATCTTGAATCGGACTTGTGATTTCCTCAAGGGTCGTCGAGGCTTGATCTTGAATTTGGCTGGAAGCTTCTTCAAGGGCTGTTAAGGCTGGATTCTTGAAGGTTGACTCGAATGCATGGCAAGCAGGCACGAGGTGAAGGTGACGACTTGTTGCTTTGTTCAATCTTTCTAATTCACACTTGAGCAGTTTGGTCAACGGTATGATCTTCAAGATTGATGGGCTCTTCTTCCAGTTGGTGACTTGATCTTTAAGGATTTGATTCAAGGGTGGTGAATCAGCACGTGCAGCCCACAACGCCTAGAGAGTCGACCCAAGAATTTAAGGGTCAAAACGAGTCCACTACCCAAAGTGATTGCAACCCTGATGATATGAGATACTTTTGATTTTGAAGAAGTAGCAGATGAATCGGCACGTGCCTTGTTGTGCTTATCTCCACATGCTTCAATGTATCATTTTCCCTTGCCTTATCTGTTCTTCGGTCAGATGTGGTATCTTCTCTGGAAGCATAAGATGTTGAGATAATGGGTACTTCGAGAGTAGTGCTCGGAAAGCAATCAGGGAAGGGTTCCAAGCAGTCGGTTCCTGACTGGAAGTTTGACACCAAGTGCTGGCTGATTGCTTTTTTCCTCTTTGTCCCGCAGGTAAGAACAAGGACAAAGAAAAGGACAGGGAGAAAGCATGATATGAAATACTCTTGCTTTCGAAGAAGTGGTGGCGATTTGACAGCGTTTGCACATCGAGGCTTTGTTCTTCGGCGATGGTGCTGTCAATATTTTGTTGAAGCTTCTCGAGCTCTTGGATTCAACTCAGACCCCTTCTTTTCTCTAATTCTTCAACTCGGACTCCTTCTGCTAAGTTGATTGTGTACGCCGTATTTCCTTATTTGTTCTACAGGCAGATGTGGCAGCTTCTTGAGTTCCTCAGCTCAGACTCCTTCTGCTGAGTTGGCTGTGCAGACTGCATTCTTCTCTGCTTGTTTTTTCTGCACGTTGTCTCCACATGCTGCAAGGTATTATTTTCACTTGCCTTATCTGTTCTCTAGGCAGATGTGACAGCTTCTTTGGAAGTACAACAGCAGTGGAAGACTGGTACTCGATAGCAGTGCTAGGTAGGCAATCAGGGAAGGGTTCCAAGTAGTCGATTCCTTACCCGAGTTTGAGTGGAGGTTCCGGCATATTGCTTTCTTTATCCTTGTTTTTGCAAGTAAGAACAACAAAGGAAATGACAGGGAGAACGCATGATATGAGATACTCTTGCTTTCTACCCTGGTGATATGAGATACTTTTGCTTTGGTGTCATTTGTTTGCTGAGGTACCCCAAGGAATAAGGAACACTGGGTGACTCGAGAGGCTTCGTTGGGAAGGCATTCTCGGAGATGAAGAAATGTTCTGTATGTCTGCCTTGCTATGGAGGGTGAAGGTGGACAGTTATAGGAAGTCCTTTAATCCCTGTAAAGGTACTATTCTTTCACTCGTGTCGGCAACCATTGAGTGATTGATCAGTATGGATTCACATGCTTTCTTCTTTATCAGAAATCTTCGACAAATTGTCCGTAATTTCCGCCAAGCTGAGTGTACATGTGACAGGTGTTGACGAGGCTGAAAAAGACTGGCGCCTCTTCGATATCTGGGATCGGCGCTTCGACAAATTGCCCGTGATTTCCGCAAAGCTGAGTTTGCGTGTGACGGGTGCTGACGCGTTTGGAAAAGCAAGATGCCTCTCCGATTTCTGAGCTTGCCTCTTTGATTTTTGAATTGGCCTTTTCGAATTCTGAGCTCGCCTCTTCGATCTCTGAAATCCCGTCGAGTGCTGATTTTTATAGAGGCATGCAATTCGTTTCAAAGCACACTTGAATTTTAGCTTGTAGAAAACTCCATTCTTGCACTTCTAAGATCTTTGATTTGTCCAACCTCTTCTTTCTTCAACACCTTTGAAAATGTCTGGACCTTTCGATCGTCGTTTTGACTTGAACCTTGGTGAATAGGCAGTTTCTTCTTTTCCAGAAAACATATGGCGCCCATCCTTCATATCCCCTACTGGTCCTCTTATCGTTGGAGATTCGGTGATGAAGAATGATATGACCGCTGCGGTGGTGGCCAGGAACCTTGTCACTCCCAAAGATAACAGACTACTTTCCAAACGGTCTGATGAGTTGGCTGTTAAGGATTCTCTGGCTTTCAGTGTGCAGTGTGCAAGTTCTGTGTCTAATATGGCCCAACGTCTATTTGCTCAAACCCGTCAAGTTGAATCATTGGCGGCTGAAGTGATGAGTCTCAAACAGGAAATTAGAGGGCTCAAGCGCGAAAACAGAGAGTTGCACATGCTTGCCAATAATTACTCGACGAGCATGAAGAGAAAGCTCGACCAGCTGCAAGAATCCGAAGGTCGGATTCAGAGTGACCATCAGATGTTTGTGGCTTCACTCCAGAGGCACCTATTGCCTTCGTCCTCTAGAGTTTTACCGAGTGTTGAGGTTCCAAACAGTCAACCTCCGGTGCTTCTTTTTCCTAGAGCTTCGCCGAGTGGTGAGGCTTCCAACAGTCAACCTCCGGCGCCTCTTCTTCCTGGAGCTCCGCCGAGTGATGAGGCGCCAGCTGATCATCCTTGAAGATCCCCTCCTGTAATTTTGATTTGACTTTTGATTTATTTTTTTTAAGGTATGTATAATGCAAATTTATGTAAAATTTCCAAAAAAATGAATAAAATGGACTTTATTTCTCTTAATGCATTTTTTTTTGCTGTATACATACATATATTATGTACACATATTCTTTTTTTTTTTTTGCATGGTGCTAGCCACCAAGGATCCACTTTCTTCTTCTTCTTATATATATTAGGGTGGTGGCTGACACCATCATTTTTTTATAAATTTTTTTTTCGCTTTCGGTGCTGGGTGCACCATGTCTCCTCTTTTCCCTTTTTTTATATTATAATTTTTTTTTCATGCATACATACATACATACGTACATACATATACATATAGATATATATATAGGGTGCGGGATAGGAGCTTGGAGGAGGAAGAAGGAGGAGCACGGAGGAGAAGGAAGAAAGAGGAGCACGGAGGAGAAGGAAGAAGGAGGAGCACAGATGAGGTAGGTGTGGAGGAAGGTGGCGCAGGAGATGAGCTTGGATGAGGAAGAAGGAAGAGCATGGAGGAGGTAGGTGTGGAGGAAAGAAGGGTTGGTGCCGAGAGGGAAGATCCGTCGCAGATGAAGGTCTCGAGGCAGACGTAGCCCTTGCTTCCATACTTCTTTGCTCGTCCACTGCTCTAGCTTCCATGGCAGGTTGTGCCCCGTCGATCGAGCTGCAGATCTTGTACATGAAACGGTTCGTAGCAAGCAGAGTCGTCGACAATGGTTGCGGCTCAAGCTTCGTCTCTGCCGCCATGTCAGCCTCTTCACTAACCATCACAT